ATTATGCTCAAGTTGATACATTCAATCAGTTGAATTAATTCCAACGATGGGTAAGGTTCAAACCTATGATCAATCACATATACCTTTGACTAGTTGAATTATCCTCAAGTTGATTTGTATATCCAAAAAGGAAGAGAGAGAGAGAGAAAGGAAATGGGTCAAAATATTGAAGATAGATTTTTGGTAGGGCTTGAAAATGATAGCTTTAGCAAAATTGAAGGCCAAGAGGGATGTTGGGGAACAATTTAGGACCAAAGCTAGCGCTATATTGTAGTGAGATAGTGACACAACACACTTTGGCAGTGTCTTGTAAATCAAGGCCTCTCCCTAAAGCAAACCAAGACCAATCATAAAAGTGTTCCCTTTTCCTCTGATACCCATCAGCATCATCAACCCCAAGCTCACACTCTTCATATCTCCCTCATGCTCCTACATTCACTTACCTCAAATCTTTAACGCCTTTGTTCAGAATTCATTGACTAATTTAAACAAAAACCATGAACAACGTAGGAAAGATGAACAAACTCTCCCAAAAGTCGTAGCTGATAGAGGAGGATCCGATCAACAAACTCTCCCAAAAGTCGTAGCTGATAGAGGAGGATCCGATCCATTCTCATACGTCATCGAAGACCGAGATCCTCCAGTATGTTTTCTCCACGCCTATTCAATTTTGCGTCCTCTCTTTTCAAGGAATGGGATGGAAAACTCCCACAAACTTACCCCAGGTTCTGATGAACATACAGAATCTCTTATTCAAATGCATAATAACTTAGATTAGATCAGCTCAGACTCACATATCTCTTTAACATTAGAGCTTGGAAGCAGCATCCTTGTCCAAGAACCATGTCAAAGCCCCTTCAGGAGCAACCCTCTGAACAGGTAATGTTTCAGAATTCTGAGAACTTCCTCCTCCTAGTGCAGTATACACAGCGTCGGCCTTGCTAGCACCAGGCGCTACAAGTGCGATGTATGCTGATGAGTTGATAACTGGGAAGGTAAAAGTGATTCTCTCTGGGGGTGGTTTAGGGGAATCCTTGATGTAGGTAACCCATTTCTGACTTTCATTGAGAAGGGGATGGCCTGGGAATAAAGAAGCCACATGCCCATCTGGGCCCATACCAAGAAGCATAAGATCGAATTTCGGGAACCCGCTTGCTGCTGAGACATCGACCACTTTGGTATTTACCAAATGCTTCAGGCAGGTTTCGTAATCTTCAGCTGCACCCTCAGCAGATAGTGCATCATTAATAGCATAAACGTGACCGGGGAGAATTGGCACCTATATAACACAATTACAAAAGAATATATTAACACGAGTGAATGATTCGATTCCCTATTATTAAAGATTAAAAAGCCTCCTTAAACAAATATGCCCAGCTTGATATTTCAGACGTCTAAAGCAGTGACCTTTGCCTTTGAGCAAATTGATTGCCCTTTTTATTTTAAAATAACCATTGATGTTAAGGACCACTTATCCACACCTTGACAAATCCAAAAAAACAATCACAATAATAGTTGACAAAGAACTCGCTACTAATGAGATGCTTATTATCATAAAATTTTAGGAGTAGGAGTTTTGCTCCCCTTTACCGCCTGTACCTGCCCCAAGGCCCACAACCATGAGACATCAAGAGTCTCTGGTATTAAGCTTACCCGAAGGTTTCAATTTCGGACCTCTAAGCCCATATGACCAAGAGGCCCCAAGCCCTTAGCAACAGGGCTGCCCCTTGAGGGCCATCGAATTCAAGCTAGTCTGTTAGACCATTGAGGTAATCCCCATGGTGGTTGACTGTGCCTGTAGCTCTCTCAATTGTGTAAAAATGGAAAACCAAGATCTTGTTTGATAACCATTCGTTTTCAGTATTCTATTTTTGAAAAATGGGTTTGTTTCCTTCCGATTTCGATGGTTTTCATTTTTCAAAAGGAAAGATCTATATTCATAGTCAAGTTCCAAAAACGAAAATATTTGTAAGTAGATAACAAAACAAGGAACCTCGTCAGTAGAAATAGTGTTTATAAGCTTAAATTTCAAAAACAAAAATAAAAAACTCAAATAGTTATCAAACACATTATTATCTTTCACAGAGTTACAATTAGCATAAGACTGCAATAGCCATATGATACAGCTCAAATAACCAGTATAATCTAAGAAAATGGTTTGGAGTTAAACAGATAATTTGACATAGAGGAGTTATTCTTCCTAGCAGAAACTAATTTGGATTAGCAATCAATAATTAAACTTCTGCAGAGGTAATCATCTTACCAAAGGAAATAAGAAGAAAGAAACACATTGTAAAAAAAAACCCCATAAACAAAATTTCACCAAAGTTCTATTTTAAAAATCATGAGAAAAAAGTTGTTCTCCTGAAAATCTCTCAGACAATCCCGTGGTTTAAGGCACAAATGAACTCTAAAGAACATGAATTAAAATGTCATGCCACCATTCTGTGTATATATATATAACATCTAAAAGTTAAGATGACCTGAGAAAGAAATCCATCATAAGCGAGTTTGTAGTTGCTGTCAACGTGATCTTTGGGTACAACTCTCTCATCAACCCAAAACACATGCCATTTCGACCAATCTATTGAATCAACATACGGTGGCTCCACCAATTTCCTGAAATTTGATACATCTACAAGTTAAAAATGAAAAGGAGGCTCTTCCTATCTCATAAGCAATCAAAGTTCTACCAACTATTTCACATTGCATCTCAAAGGAAAATTGCGAGAAAGCTTTGCAAAGTCCTAAAAGATCAAAGAGTGATTCCTGAATCCCGAGCAATTGACCTATGCATACATGCATGTTTCTATACTATCAGAAACAAAAGCTGGAGAACCTCAAGAAGCCGCATGTTCGATCTCATCACTACCACAAAGAGTCAACTCCGAAAAAATTGTACAGTTCAGCCTAAATCCAGTTCTTTAATTACTCCTCAATGAAACCAAAGACAGTCCAGGAATTGAAATTAGCACGCCTAATTGCCAATTTCACAACCCTAATCCAACAAATTCAAAAACCAAATAACTAACCTGAGGCATTTAATCAGAGATCCACCGGAGAGAACCACAGTGAAAGCGCCCCTGTTCTTAGCAAAATGATCCGACAAATCGGCAGTGTATTTAGCTAGAGAAACCGCCAAATCTTCCCCTGAATCAAAAACCCTCTTCTCCGATGCCATGTCGGTAGCGGAAGCAAGAGCTCTTAAACCGAGATGCTTCTTGGTGGGATGCAACCCAGAAACCCCAGAGAAAATTTGAGTGAAGCGGAGGGAGAGAGCAGGGGTTTTGGATGGAAGCGACAGAGAGAGAAGCGGAGAGGAAATCTTCGGAGGTCTTCGCAGAGTGGAGGAGAGCATACGAAGCGTGGAAGGAAGTGAGGGAGACGCGGAAGCCATAATATAAGCCGACAGAACAAATGGAGATATTGAGATGAAATAAATTAAGTTAAATTAATTTTTTTTAAAAATAGTTTTAAACTTTCATAATACCTTAAATAAATAAAAAATTAAGAATACCTTTAATTTAATTTATTTTTAAAATACCTTTAGTTTTTCAATTTTATTATGCATTAATTATTTATGAGTAGATTTATATAATTTTATATTTGCACAACTTTATATTATATTTTTAGGTGAGTGTATGGAAAAACCTTTTATGCCCTCATCTCCATGGACATCCTTACTCTCAAATTTGGGGCATTTGTGGATAAAATATAGAGTTCCATATGTTCTTTTTTTCATGTTATTCAATTTCAAATAAATTCTTTTCTTCATATGATTTAATCGATTTTTTATAGGACATGCAAGAAAACGACCCTTTCGTAGGGTCTTGTAGAATAATTTAGGACAAAAACCAGGTATACATATCTACGTAATTTGAATGGCCTTTCAAGTGCTTAAAAATACACTTGTTTTACCATAACTTTTTCGATACTTAAAAACAAAACAATTTTTTAAAAGTAATTTCAATCGCGCTCTCAAAAATACCTTTTCTAAGCACGAAGAAGCTATCGAATACAAAGATTTTGATCTTTGTTTATTCTTGCCCTGCATAAAACTACATTCAATTGCGAACGTACTAATACAACTCTCTTATTCATATGCTTAACATAAGCAAAACGGAGCTGATGAACACATCTCTTCTTACATTACAGCTTGGAAGCAGCCTCCTTGTCCAAGAACCATGTCAGGACGCCTTCAGCAGCGACCCTCTGAACAGGCAGCAATGCTTCACCATTCTGACCACTTCCTCCTCCTAAAGCAACGCCCACGGCATCTGCTTGGGCGGCGCCAGGCACCACAAGCGCAATGTAGTCCGATGAGTTGATAACTGGGAAGGTTAAAGTGATACGCTCTGGCGGCGGCTTGGGAGAGTCCTTGATGAAGGTAACCCATTTTTCATTCTCTTTCAGAAGCGGGTGAGCTGGGAATAAGGAAGCCACATGCCCGTCTGGTCCCATTCCAAGAAGATTCAGGTCAAATTTTGGGAACCCGCTTTTGGATGAGATATCGATCACTTTGCTACTCACCAACTGCTTCAGACGAGCTTCGTACTCTTCTGCTGCACCCTCTGCTGATAGTGTGTCGTCGATAGCATACACGTTATCAGGAGGTATGGGAACCTACTCAACACGATAAACAAGAAAAACTAAACATCAGGGAACGATTCGATGCCCTGCTATCAAAGACGCTGGAAACGAACACGTTTTTAAACACTTGGAAAGTTCTTCTAAATGGATTCTCTCGTCATTAAGCATCCATGTGCTTCAAATACCTACATAGAGATGAAAGTAACAGCCCAAGCTCACCGCTAGTTGTTGTATTTGGATTTTCCCTTCCGGACTTCCGCTCAAGGTTTTAAAATGCATCTGCTAAGGAGAGGTTTCCACGCCCCTTACAAAGAGTGCTTTGTTCCCCTCACCAACCGATGTGAGATCTCACAATCTACCCTTTTAGGGCCCAGTGTCCTCGCCTGACACTCATTCCTCTCTCCAATCGGTGGGATCTCACGATCCACCCCTCTTTGTGGCTTAGCGTCCTCGCTGGCACACTGCCTAGTGTTCACCCCTTCGGTTTCAACCTCCTCACTTGCACATCACTCGGTGTCTGGCTCTGATACCATTTGTAACAGCCCAAACTCACCGCTAACCGATATTATCCTATTTGACCTTTCACTTCTGGGCTTCCCCTCAAGGCTTTAAAACACGTCTGCTAGGCAGAGGTTTCCATACCTACCTTAAAAAGAGTGCTTTGTTCCCTCTCCAACCGATGCAGGATCTCACAATCCACCCCCTTCGAGGACCCGCATCCTCACTAGCACTCATTCCCCTCTCCAATCGATGTGGGATCTTTTCACAATCCACCCCCTTCGAGGACCCGCATCCTCACTGGCACTCATTCCCCTCTCCAATCGATGTGGGATCTTTTCACAATCCACCCCCTTCATAGCCCAACGTCCTCGCTGACAAATCATCTGGTATTCACCCCCTTTCAGGGTTCAGCCTCTTCACTGACACATAGCCAAGTGTATGGCTAACAAATATTGTTCTATGGGTTTCCCTTTTAGGCTTCCCCTCAAGAATTTAAAACGCATCTGATAGGGAGAGGTTTCCACCGTCTTAAAAGAATACTTTTTTCTTCTCTCCAACCAACGTGGGACCTAACAATAAAGTTCTAAATATGAAGGAACTGTTTCGAAAATGAACTGTCTGCTAATGTTCTTAAGGCATTTCTCTATAAAGGGATAAATGAACAGTCAAGAACACGAACTAAAATACCACGCCATTTCCATCAAACAAGAACAAAGAAAGAACAAAAACATGAAGAAAGTTAGTATAACCTTAGAGAGAAAACCATCATAAGCAAGTTTGTAGTTGCTATCAACATGAGTCTTGGGTACAACCCTCTCATCGAGCCAAAATATGTGCCATATCGACCAATCTATCGAATCAACATAGGGTGGTTCCACCAATTTCCTAACATTTGAGACACAAAGATCTAAAAAACCATGAAAAAGCAACACAACATCTCAAATGGAACAGGAAAAGTCTAAAAACATCAAAGGATCGAACATCCCAGAAGTTATTTCGCCTTAACCAGTTCATGAATCACCCAAAAAGAAGCAAAAATCGATTAAGTCCCTAAAATTTGAACAACGTTGAATCTCGATCAAATTTGAAAGAGAATTGGAAAAGGGAACCTGAGGCATTCGATCAAACATCCACCGGAGAGAACCACGGTGAAAAGACCCCTGTTCTTAGCGAAGTGCGCGGACAAATCGGCGATGTATTTGGCTAGAGAAACAGCCAAATCTTCCTCTGAATCAAAAATCCTCTTCTCCATAGCCATTTCAGTACCCAAAATGCAACAGCTCTCGAACCCAGATGCGTCTTTTATAGCCAACTGGAACGGCGTCCATTGTTTTGAGACCAATGGCGCGCACCTCGAATCTCATATCGTGGAGAATCTGGAAAACATGACCCTAAATTCTCCTTTTTTCTGAAAAAGGAAATACATTCAAATCCTTTTAACTTGTTCTAAAATTTGGCCCAAAAACGTTTTTTACTAAATGACTTTTATGCCCCTCGTCCTTATCCACCAAAAATGATAATTATGGATTATTCTACTTAGAAAAAAATAGTCATTTTAAAAAAAATTAATGAATACTTTTCATTTTCCGATAATAACTTTTAATTGTTACGGGTTCACTCGTGCTATTAGAAATTATTATTTGTATTAAGCGGAGCATGGACGAGAAATATATTCTCATTTCGAGCCCTATTTATCTAACAAAGAAAAATCTCTTCCCGCTGCTTTCTCATTCACTATCTAGACGGAAAATCTTCTCTCCGTTCAATACAGGCCTCCACGGGTCCATCTCACATATTGGACATTCCTAGCTAAAGTTAGGGTGTTTACAATTTCCTTCTATTCTACAAATATAAAATAAAAAATAAAATAAATTTGATGGACCGTTTGAAAAATAAATTTATTTATCTTCAAATATTAAACATTTATGACGTAATATTAACATTGGTCACAATTTAAATATTTTTAATTATTTTAAAATTTGTGGGGCCCGACCCGATGACTGAGTAGAGTGCTCCACCACATAACCAATGAATCAAATATCTTCAACTGTTTTTCTCATCTCCTTCCTTTTACTTGCACCTTGAGGTCTCGACCTCCAAACAATGGCAGGAATGGCTTCCTCCACATTCACCCCCTCCTTCTGCTTCAGATCTTTCGCTGTGGCCGCATCGAACAAGGCTTCCTCTTCTTCTTCTTCTTCTCCGGCGGCTTTCAAGCCACTCAAGCTTCCTCTCTTTTGGCCATGGCAGAAGGTCTGTATTCATTATCCAAATTGAATGGAAACAAACTACCCTGCCTTCAATGGCGTTCCTGTTTGATCACAGGTGAAGATGGGCCCTCTCAGTTTATCTCCAATGGGATTTGGAACCTGGGCGTGGGGGAACCAGCTGTTGTGGGGCTACCAGGAATCCATGGACGCTGAGCTTCAACAGATTTTCAATTTGGCTGTGGAGAACGGAATCAATCTCTTCGATACGGCGGATTCCTATGGTACTGGAAGATTAAATGGCCAAAGCGAAAAGCTACTTGGAAAATTCATCCGAGAATCTCAAGGTCCTGTTTGCTCTCTTATTCGTATTAACATTTATTTTCTGGCTTGTTGATGAAATTGAACGCGCGCAAGGAATTAAGTTTGCCCTAACCCTAATTCTCCAGAGAAAAATGACATTGTGATAGCCACCAAGTTTGCTGCGTATCCATGGCGCCTGACGCCGGGCCAGTTTGTCAAAGCATGCAAGTATGCTTCAGATCCAACTCAAATTTTATCATTATTTTCTTCTTAACTTGTAAATTTACTGCCACTTATTTTGGATGACAATGAGCTTTATTTAGGGCGTCTTTGGATCGGATGCAGATTGAGAAAATTGGTATAGGACAATTACATTGGTCAACAGCGAATTATGCTCCTTTGCAGGAGATGGCTCTTTGGGATGGACTAGTGGCAATGTATGATCAGGTCACTATAATTTCTGCTCAAATGGGTTCAACTTTCTCATCATTAAACTTGAATTCAGAGTATCTGAAACCATACGTTTCATTTTGATGCTGTACTCATAAAGTTGGGGAATTACAGGGCTTGGTTCAAGCAGTTGGAGTGAGCAACTATGGACCAAAGCAACTGGTGAAGATACATGACTACCTAAAAGATCGAGGAGTTCCCTTGTGCTCTGCTCAGGTATTTGGTATGAACAAGCTTACCAACCACCATGTACTTGACCAATGGTTTAAGGCTAAACATCTTAGGAGGATAAGAATTCGTGTGAGATCCTATATCAGTTGGAGTGGGAAACGAAACATTCCTTATAAGGGTGTGGAAATCTTTCTCTAGTAGATGTGTTTTAAAACCGTGAGGTTGATGACCATACGTAACAGGCTAAAACGGACAATATCTACCAGTGGTGGGCTTGGACTATTAGAAATGATATCAGAGTCAGACACCAAACGTTGGTCTCCAAGGGGGATGATTGTGAGATCCCATATTAGTTGGAGTGGAAAACGAAGCATTCCTTATAAGAATGTGGAAACCTCTCCCTAGTAGATGCGTTTTAAAATCGTGAGGCTGATAGCGATGCATAACGAACCAAAGCAGACAATATCTGCTAGCAGTGGACTTGGGCTATTACACAAGGAAATCGTCTAAGATTTTAATATTCTAGGGAGGGCGGTAACCGTCTAAGCCGACTGCTAGCAAATATTGTCTTCTTTGGACTTTCTCTTTCGGCTTCTCCTCAAAGTTTTTAAAATGCGTATGCTAGGGAGAGGTTTTCACATCCTTATAAAAAATAATTCGTTCTCCTCTCCAACCGAGGTAGGATCTCACAGATACCCACCATAGGATTTCAACTCATTTCTTCAAAGTCCATTCACTTTTGTCACCAACTGAGCCAGCCTATGATGGGTATGCTCTTATAGGAAACCTTGTTACTCTGCTCTTATTTTCTGCCACAAAGTTCTTGTTCCAAGAATGATGACTGTTAAATGACTGCATAGGAAACCTTGAATGGCAGTTGGACTTTGTGAATGCTAACTCTTTCATTTTAGGTGCAATTTTCTTTACTAAGCATAGGAGACGAACAGTTGGAGACTAAGAAGATATGTGATTCTTTGGGCATCCGCTTAATCGCTTACAGTCCTTTGGGGTTGGGAATGCTTACAGGAAAATACTCACCCTCCAAGCTTCCATCTGGACCTCGGTAAAATCAATGGATTGTTTTACATTTCTCTTTGAATTTCATGCTATTTACACATTGGCGTTCCCAGAGGTCTTCTGTTCAGGCAAATTCTACCAGGATTGGAACCTTTACTGAGTACACTAGGGAACATTGCAGAGAAAAGGCGCAAGACAATACCACAAGTAATTAATTTCAATGGAATTGTCTGTGATGTGATTTGCATTTCTTTAGATACTGTGGTTTTGACAAACAAATGCACATGATCTGAGCTGGTAACAGGTTGCTATAAACTGGTGCATATCCAAGGGAACTATACCCATACCTGGAGCTAAGACATTAAAACAAGCTCAAGAAAATCTGGGGGCTCTTGGCTGGCGCCTTACGCAAGAGGAATCGAACCTGTTGGAGGATGGAGCTCGAGCGTCCACCGGGAGGATGATACAGAATGTTTTCCAGACCAGGTGGTTTGAAGTTTTAACTTCAATATCAACCTTTTTTAAAAGTCATTCTATAACCACCCAAATCCACTGCTAGTAATATATTGTCCCCTTTGGCCCATTATGTATCACCATCAGCTTCACGGTTTTAAAACGTGTCTACTAGAGAGAGGTTTCCATATCCTTATAAAACATGTTTTGTTTCCCTCTCCAACCGGTGTGGGATCTCACAATCCACCCCGTTGGGGTCCAGCGTTCTCGCTGGCACACCACTTGACGCGCTTTGATACCATTTGGTAGATATTGTCCGCTTTAGCCCGTTACGTATCGCAGTCAGTCTTAGTTTTAAAACACGTCTACTAGGGAGAGGTTTTCACACTTTTATAAGGAATATTTCGTTACTCTCTCCAACCAATGTGAGATCTTACATAAATCTTTCCCTAGTATAAACGCATTCTAAAACCGTGAGGCTGACAGCGATACGTAACAAGCCAAAACGGACAACATCTACTAGCGGTAGGCATGGGTTGTTACCGTGGAAACATGCTTTCTTTCAATGTTAACCCCTTCATTGAAAACCAGGTGAACTTGGCAGCACCAGGTGGAATAGTGATGAGAGAATGAAGAACTCAAAGGCAAAAAGAAGGGCATACCCTCCTTATCCAGGGTCTATTTATTTAACCAGCCGGATTTTGGTACCGCCAATGCCCACAAAGCTGGAGAAAAAGAGGAAAAGGCACAGCAAAGCAAAGCAAAGGCATTGGCATAGGGTGCTTATTTCCTTATTCTATTCTAATTCAGCTTGTCATTCACTCAGTTTTAAGTTTTTGTTTCAATCATCATTAGAAAGGTTTTCAATGGATATGGCTCGAACCACTACGTTATCCATGTTCCGGTGAAATAATAGCACGTGCAGGGCTTAGGATCATTCTCGTTGAAATTAATGTTTTCTCTCTTCGACCTCGGTGTCGTTACATCCTTTGTATTCGCGAACATCGCCTTATCCATCACTTTCTCTCCGCTTTCAACCACATTTTAATCGTGCTTGAACTCCTCATCACAAAAGTCATGTCGACAACATCATTCTCTCCTGGATCTTTCACATAAAAGATTATTTCCATGTAGATCTTACTTTTTTTCAATAAATCGAAAATTGATTCTTTTTTTCTATTTAACCTAAGTCGAGAATAAAAATGATTTTTTTTTCCTATTTTCTAATTTAAAACATTTAAATATTTAAATATTCAACCTAATGAACAAAGAAATAAGAATCGAGTAATCCTTTTGGTACTAAAAATTAATTTACATTAACTTCATGTCGGTGTTGTAATTAATTATTTATCCTTCTATTAGTCAACGAATATTTATTATTATAATGAAATCAAATTGTTTTTTTTATGAGTTTAATATTATTATTATTATTATTATTATTATTATTTAAAATTGAATAGAAACATGGTAAAAGAAAAGGAATATAATTAAAAATTTTAAAAATCCAAAAAAGAAACACGTATAAAAGCAGTAAATGTGGTATAATATTAAATGTTTGACTATCTGGAAGCAACGAATATCGACGAAATCCGTTAGAAGGAGAATAAGAGGTTATTGGAAAATGTATTTTAAAATTTATTTCAGAAGTAAATAACAATAATAACAATAATAATAATAATTAAATTAGTCGGCAAATAAATAGATTTTTCTTTGTTTGAAAAACAAATCGAAATAATATGTGAGTCGGTCGTACACGAGTTAGGTCGGTGAAATCTTTTGAGCCAATTTAAATTTTGAACTGTGAACAACGTCCAGTTCGATTGAGTTGTAAAAATTATTTTAAAAAATATTACTTATCCACCATACGTTACAATAATAATTAATCTCATAAATATCAAATATTCAACAATTACATGTCACGACGTATAACTAACATCGGTTACAAACGTGAAATATTATTCATTTTCATTATAATCTTAAAACTATCGTTGGATTAGGTTCCATTATAACTCTATTTTTAAGTTGGTTGAGTTGACTTAATAAAAAAGTCAAACCATGAACCGACAGTAGGTTTCAAAAAATTCAACTCAATCCAAGCAATTTTTATGGTTTAGGTTGAGTAATCTGAGGTGGTTAGGTTATCGAGTCATATAAACACCTCTAAAATCATAGTGAACGATCCTATATCCAAATGGTCTTTCTGCAGTAAGCTAATGAGCTACAAAATTGCACGTTTGATTGATATAGATAGAGCCTTGGATTGGAACCGAACAAACATTTAGAGCTTATTTGCAGATACAGATACAGATAGAGATGTTCACCTGAGCAGCGAAGATAGGGAAACCTTTTTCATCTCGTCCTCGCCTCCTATTTTAATTTTTATTTTGTGAAATTTTTAATTTTTTAATTTTAATCTTTATCTCCATAAATTATTCAATTTATTTTTAACGTATTTAGATAAAGATGAATAGAGAAAAAAAATATTATTAAAGAGAAAATTAAAATTAATTTGAAAAGAATAAATGCCCCTTAAAAAAGGGAATAAAAAATAAAGTTTAAAAAAAAAAGAAAAAAGAGAGATGACGGCCTGGCCATCTCCCGGGGTTCCGCCTTTGCTTTTTCACGCGGACTTGGAAATGAAATTAAATTCCATTTAATTTTTGCGACTATAAATACTACGCGTCCGCTACCACCACTCCGGCGTTCCCTTTTTCTGCTGTGTTTTCACTTTTATATATGTTGATCGGAATTAGGGTGAAGCCTCGATGAGCAACATCCCTTCCTCCTTCACTGATTCCTCTTTCAATCTCTTCACCCTCGCCATCTCTTCCTCTCACGCTTGGATCTTCACTCTTTGACAAGCTTCCAATTGCAGCAGCTGCAGCGGCTTCTTTTTCTTCTAATTCCGATGGGGTTTGGCGGCGGTGGCGGCGGTGGCGACAAGCATCAGCACCTCCTGCATCTGAATTTCCATTTCCATATTCATTTGCCTCACTTTCACCACCATCATCATCGGAACAAGGTGGAGACTCCCAAGGGGTGTTTGGCAATTCTCGTCGGCCAACAGCAAGAGCGGTTCGTGATTCCTGTCATTTATGTTAACCATCCTTTGTTCGCTCGGCTCTTGAAGGAGGCCGAAGACGAGTATGGCTTCGACCAGAAAGGACCTATCGCCATCCCTTGCCCTGTCGACGACTTCCGTACTCTCCAGGGCATAATTCATCACGATCATCACCCCCATCATCTTCTTCCCATCTCCTGTTTTAGGGATTCGTCTCATCCCCATTGCTGATATTGATGAATACCGACCTTAGTTCTTAGTTTTGGGTCCTCTTCGTTTGTTTGTTAATTTTCTGATACACATAACCAATAGCAATTCATGCGTTACCATTGCTTTCTGGAAGTGGAATTGGAATTTCCTCTGTTTATACATTCAAATTATTGTCACTGTCAACATGGTCTAGCTTGCCATTGAATGTTGTATCATATACGAGCTTCTTCAGCCTCAATCATGATGATTAATCTCTGTTTCTTCCTAGTTAAAATTCAAATAACGTAATCAAAACTGTCTGAAATTGATTCTCGGAAGGATATTTGACCATTGGAACTCTTTTATCTTTCTAAATTGGCCCGTTTGACTTCAAAAAATGAGGGATCTCTATCCCATGGGAAAAGGGGTGGGTGGAGATTGCTTTGCTTGTAAGGATGTAATAACTTTTTATTATTCTTTCTGGCAATGACACCTACAGCTTTGCTGACGCGTTTTTCTGTGTATACTAAATCCTCCCTTGAATAACGCTAAGTCAAATTCTCTTTAGAACATTATTATGCTTCTTCCACTTACAGTATGTATTGCATTACAGTCTTGCAGATGCCATCATTGACTTCCCAATTATGACCACCCATAGCCCACATGGAATGGACGACATCAGCTCACCCCACCTCAACCCCATCAGTATTCTTACTTTCCTGTTTCCCTTCATTGCTTTTCTTTTATTCATATATTCATTACGTTTGGAAGTAACTCGATATGTCAAGACTAAACCCATATGTTTACAGAAAAACATAAAAAAGAAACAGAATGAAGAATTCTAAAATCTTGAAAACTATATCTTCAAACGTTTATTTCAATTGAGCACTTAAGTTTGGGAGAATGAAAGAACATAATATAGCATATCAGTTTGGCAAGTCTCAGTAAAATCTGTATTCTGATCTCTGCCTTGTTTTTACATGTAGGAAGGATTATAAAGAACTGGGCGGTGAAATGGGAAAGAATGCAATACATGGTACATCCTCGTTTCTTTTTATGTTTCTCAATCGCATGGCCCTCTTTTATTCAGTGTTTTGAAGCTGCTAGGAATCAAATTGATAATACAATGAGGAGAAAAAATGAATCAAGTGTACAGCTATTGAACTATCTGCTTCTTCTGTGTGTTAATGTCTTGTATTAGAGTATCGGATTGTAACACCATGTAGAAATCTTGTATATCCGAAAAAACTGAGTTTCCCATCAGAACTTCTTGTCCAATTCTGGAGAAAAGAATGAGCTATAGGACCCAGATTCATTTCCTGAACACATTTTAAACTTGCACTTCAATTCACTGTTGTTAGTTGTGTAAAATGTAGTAATTCCAAGCGTCGAATTGTTTCTTACCTGAACTAACTCATGTACTGAAATGACTCGATTTCCTTCCTGCTCGAAATACTCGAAAGCTCGGGTGGCGATGCTTTCCCATCCTGCAACAGCCTCCAGCTGATATACACTGATTGCAGCTGCGCAGAACTCCTCAAAGCCCATTCTTTTGTTAGCGAGAGGTTCCATCTAAATACAAGTTGGAAATGTTAGTGAAAAAGAATATCAACCACGGCCGGAGAGCATTATGCCAATTATGCCAAAGTTGCAGAGAATGTAACTTGATTTTGGTATATGCATAAAAGGTGTAACAACCAAGCCCACTACTAGCAGATATTGTCATCTTTGGACTTCCCTTTATAGGGAGAGGTTTCTACACCCTTTAAAGGGTATTTCGTTCTCCTCCCCAACTGACGTGGATCTAACAATCCACCCCCTTCAGGGCCCAACGTCTTTACTGCCCTTCAGGGCCCAACGTCTTTACTGGCGTTCATTCCCTTCTCCAATCGATGTAGGACCCCCAAATCCACCCCCTAAGGGCCTAGCTTCCTTGTTGGCACACCGCCTTTTTTTGTCCACCCCCTTCGGAGTTCGACCTCTTCGTTGGTACATCGTTTGGTGTTTGACTCTGATATCATTTGTAGGAAATCAAGCCCATTGCTAGCCGATATTGTCCTCTTTGGGCTTTCCCTTTCGAGCTTCCTCCTCAAGGCTTTAAAACGTGCTAAGGAGAGGTTTCCACACTCTTATAAAGGTTATTTCGTTCTCGTCCTCTCCCATCAATAGGGGATCTCACAAAAGGTGTCTAAATTGAAGGCCAAGTAAAAGTGATCTCACCATCTTCAGAATGTCAGCAACATTGGATTCTCTCATTGCATCAGTTACGTTTCTCACTAGAGCCTGCATAAGGTCAACTCATAATATTTATGCATCAACAGTAAAGATTACAAAGTAAACGTCGAAGCAAAAAGAATGGCAGGAGCCTAACCGCTTTGTAGTTATCAATGGTTACAAATCCATTTTGTGGATCCAAAAGCTTGAATTGGGTCCTGAGGTAGAAAAGTTCATCTTCTGTCAAAGCTTTTGCAAGTGCCTACAATAACGTAGAGATGTCGTTAAAGTTATTGATGCACCATTTGTGATATGTTCAATTGCAGTGACAGATTACCTTCAATGCTGCACGCTTGAAAGGAGTTGCACGAAGATATGCCTTAACTGACTTGTATATGAAGTTATCCAAAGGCACGGCAAGATCTTCATCTCGTAACCACGGGTGTGCTGTGAATCAAAGGTGCGAAATTGTTTGCTTATCAACAAATATACTTGTATACATTTTATTGGTACTAGAAAAAGTGAGCCTGAAGATTTTACTTAAAGCTTGTGCTGCTGTCATTCTTTTTCTATGGTCTTTATTCAGAAGGCGTTTCACAAAATCTTTAGCTTCTGGAGAGATGGTCGGCCAAGGGGAATCATCGAAGTTAGGATCGGCTCTTAGCACAGAGCGGAAGATTCCTGATTCAGTTCTTGCCCAGAAAGGTCTGCTCCCACACAACAGTATATATGCTATGACACCAATACTCCACATGTCTGCTTCAAAACTGTAGGATCTGTAGAGTACTTCAGGAGCAACATAGTATGCACTACCGACGACATCGTTCAGACGTTCATCTGTAGAAGAACTTATAGGTGTTGTGAAAACAGTCTCACCCCTAATGAGATGGCAAAGTGAAAATCAAGTAGGAATTGAAAGCAGCAACTTCTCAAGGACAGCCCAGAAGCTTGGATGGTAATATATGAATCTCTCTCCACCAATCTTTCATAATATATGCAAATGTTTAATGAACTGAACAGAGGCAAGAACATATTATCAAGGGCAACATGTATTTACCTGGCTTGACGAAGTCAGAGAGACCAAAATCAATGAGTTTGAGTCCTGTGTTCTCATCTTTCTTCATAAAAAGGAAATTCTGGTACAGTGAATTTGGATAAAGCTAGTTACAACAAGTAATAGGGAACTTTATTCAAAGCCAAAGAATGACTTGAAGCTACAAGAAGATGTGTACCTCTGGCTTCAAGTCACGGTGCACTATCCCTTGTAGATGACAAAATGCAACAACACAGAGTATCTGCACAATGATCGTTTTCGATTCTTGTTCCTGATATCTTCCTCCTCTGCAGGTATACGTTATGAACTTGTAATCGAGTTGATCGATGTTTTTTCTCAAGAGTAAATGAATCAAACCATTTTTACCTTGACACTATTCTTTCTAGCAGTTCTCCGCCTTCACACAATCTGATACCAAATTCAGAAAAAGGGTTGATATTAACTTGATTGAGCTATCAGAAAATGCAGGGCTATTGGCAAAAACAGATATCTACAAGCACATACTCCATAACTATGTAAATGTTATTGGCATCTTCAAATGCACCGTGGAAATGGACCAGATTCTTGTGCCCGGACAATGCTTTCAGTATCTTTACCTCCCGGCGAACATCTTCGATTCCAACGGTCGATGTCATCTGCCAAACCAAATAAGTCCGAGCAGCGAGTTGGCATCAAAATAATGTAAGTCTTTCGTTCCCACTTATGTAAATGGATTTTATAGCAGATTTAGATTAGGATCTCACGTTTTAGATGAACAAAACGAAGGAACAGATTGAGGTGAAGAAATGAGTATTGAACTAAACCAACCTTAGATTTAGAGATGATTTTGACGGCCACAGGCTTTCCTTTGAGGTCGCCTTTTTTACCTTTAGCCCAGAAAGTATGTCCAAAATGGCCCCTCCCCACCTCCCTCCCGAGCTCGAACTTCGCTCCAAAGTTCGTCGAGTACCCAAAGCTTTTATCCAACTGAACCTCTCCTAACCCCTCTTCCCCAATTTGGTTTTCCTCTGGTATCGAAGCCTTGCGTGATTTCCGCCGGAGAATGGCCATGATGGGCTTTGCTGGTGAAGGAGGCGGTAGAGGCCATCGGAATTTCCTCCTCGTTGTTCTGGCTGGCGACGGCGCTATTCCAGAAGGCAGAGGACTAGAAAATGGGCTCGCTGTCGCAGAGACAGAGTTGGAGTGCCGGGTATCTTCGGTTGGATGGCTGCCACCGGAAATTACAGCGTGGTTACTGATATCAGAAACGCTTTTACTACAGTGGTGCCCCATGGGAAAAGTTAAGCTGGAAGGATGACGTTAATCGGAGAATGGTTTAAGCATAAATGGCAATCTGTGGAGATTTAGTTCTGAATTTGGGATCTCTGAGAAGAGGAAGAAGAAGAAGAGGAAGAAGAAGAAGAGGAAGAAGAAAGAGTCGTCGGAGAGAAGGTGGGCGTTGAAAATGGAGGTTGTAAAGTCGTCGGAGGAAGGTAAATTGGAAGTAGGAACGGACATGCCGTTTGTTTGATTTAGTTTAACGATGAGGCTGATGAATAGGGTGCTGACACGTGGCATATAATTTTGTCAATTTAGGTGACCAAGAATTTAAAAAAAATAAAGTTTGAAAAATAAGAGTCGACATGTTTGTTTAATTATTTATTTTTTACAATTTTAATGTAATTAATTTTATTAAGTCAAATTATTAAAAAAGATTAACTAATTTAATTCTCATTCCTTAATAAAAATATTTTATATAATGTCTTAAATTTTAAGTTTTTAAATTTATTTAGCGCTAAATATTTTAATTATTCTCAAATAAATAATTTTAATTTAAATAATTAATACCGCCATCAATTAATTACTAATGATATTTTAAATATAATAATAATAATAAATGGTAAAATAATAAGAAAAAAATAAAAATAAATGTAAAATATAAAATATGGAGGAGGGTTGAGGGTTGAGGAAAATCAAAAATAAAATTAGTAAAAAAAAAAAAAATAAAGAAGTGAAATTAGAAGAATTTAAAAGGAATTAAAAAATGGATGAAAATGATGGTGGAGAAACTTAGGTTTTAAAATTAAATTAATTAACATTTTCTCACTGTAGGATTTAAATAATAAAAAATGGGAAGAAAATGAAAGGAGAAGAGAAGTCAAAGAGTAGCAGGTAACTACTGGATGGAGTCCAAATGTAAAACCTTCTTTTTTTTTTCTCCCTCCCTTCTCTAAATTATTCCAATAATAAATAAACAACAACAAAAATAGAGTTCCCATCTGTGTTCAAATTGGGTTATTGGGTTCTTATTTTTTAATTATTTAAAAAATCTTATTTATCAAATCAATGGTTAAAAATATTTTTTGTTTTTTTTTTTTTAAATTAAGCCATGGTTGACTTAAGTTGTAACTCTATTTTTATCGGAAGCAAAAAAAGAGGTAAACATGTAAACCAAATAGAATTTTCGACTTTCAAAAAATTCAACCTAACCTGATATGAATCAAGATATCAATCTGCATATAAACTTTGAAGAGCATGTGAAGAAAATGTTGTTCAAATTATCACCAGAGTTGCAATTCATGTCACATTAAGGAAGAATTAAACTTCATTTATTCATGGACAGTTACAAATTTTAGGTAGATGATAATCGAGAGTTTATGTTTCTTTAATGTACTTTAAGGCTTTATTTATTTTAACCTTACATTTACGTAATGTTCATAAAGTGTGAAAGTTACAACTCTTGAAATGCATCCGGTAAAATTAATGGTTTTCATTTTGAGGTTGCGTAATGCTATGTATATTGTCTTTATAGGGTAGGTTTGGAAAATGTAGGAAAAAAAAACATTTGTGGTTTCTTCTAGCCAATGTCTAAATTTCTTTGCAATTTTATATAGTTTAGATTACATATTTAAAATCATTCAAGCTTGATATGAACGGTTGAACCCAACTTTTTGTGGGAAACAGCTTTACATGAACTGTTGAACCCAACTTTTTGTGGGAAACACTCACACTCTTTATTAAAACCAATCGAGAAAAGATTGCATGACACTTTGTAGAATACTACTACTTTGTATTTCTTGGAATGGAGGGGTACATGACACAAAGGGTATTTATAGTAGAGGCTAAACAATTTAGTCTTAAAATTTTTAAACCTTTGTTCTAAAATACCAAAATCATTTCTCTAAATTTATTTCTAAAATCCCTAAATCATTTTCCTAACATAAATATACAATGACTCACACAATTGTTGGGCTTAACTCTATTGTGCTAGTGATGATATTTTAATACTCCCCCTCAGCACTAGTTCTCATCGGTGTTGAAGCTTGCTTGCACTCTAACATGCTGAACTTCTGAAGCATATCTCTTGTATACTTTTGTTGACAGAGAAACAATCGTTCATTTGTGTGATCAACTTCTAGGCCTAAGAAGTGTTTAAGCTCTCCTAGCTCTTTCATCTGAAAGCGTATGGATAAATTTCTCTTTCGTCGTCTCCAATGATAATCAAATTGTCCACATAGACCAACATAATTACAAATTTTCCTTCTCTTTCTTTGATGAACAAGCTCGAGTCTGCATGCGCAACTGAATAACCACTTTGGGCAAGAAATTTAGCAATCTTACCATACCAAGCTCTCAGTGCTTGCTTCAATCCGTAAAGAGCTTTTCTAAGCTTACATACGTGATTCGGATTAGCTACACTCTCAAATCCCTTTGGTTGGTTTATATAAATCTCCTTGTCTAACTCTCCATGTAAGAAAACATTCTTCACATCCATCTGCCACAATTTCTAATCTTTACTTGTCGCAAGTGCTAGCAAGACTCGTACGGTAGTGATCTTTGCCACTAGACTGAATGTTTCGTCATAGTCTAGTCTATATTGTTGAGAAAATCTTTGAGCTACGAGTCGAGTCTTATATCTCTTGATTGATTTATCTAGTTGATGCTTTATTTTGTAGACCCACTTGCAAGAGATGAGCTTGAGATCTCCTAGTCACGACACTAGTTTCCAAGTTTAATTCTGGTCCAGGGCTATAATTTCTACCGAGTTTTATGATGCTTCTTCATATGTATATGATTCATTGTTTGAATCTGGTAAGACTTTCTTCTCCGAGGACCACCATGAAGACGCTTCATCAAAAACTACATCTCTTGATGTATAGTGTTTTCCACTTGTTGGATCACAACACTTCCACCCTTTCCTTTGATTGACGTATCCAACAAATATACACTTGACTGCTTTCTTGTCAAACTTTCTATGTAGATGATCAGACACAAATACATAGCAAACACAACGAAATACTCGAAGTAGCTGACTGTAGGTTTCATGTCTCATCGTATCTCGAATCCTAGCCTTGGTTGGGAAGCTTGTTGATCACATGGGCAGCAGTTCACATAGCTCCAACCCAAAATTTTCTTGAAACATTCTTTGCTTGTAACATGCTTTGACATATTTCTGCAAGGTGTCGATTCTTTCTTTCTGCTACACCATTTTGTCGTAGCGTGTTGGCACATGTAAATTGACGTCGTATTCCACATTTGTGTAAATATTGATCGAACTCATTTGACGTGTATTCTAGGCCTTTGTTTGAACGTAGGCAATGAATTTTCACTCTTACTTCTTCTTCGATCATCATCTTGAATTCTTGAAATTTTGAGAATGTGTTAAGACTTTTTTTTCATAAAGAAAATCTACACATATCTTGAGTAGTCGTCAATAAATGTCACCATATACCGCATTCTGCTAATCGATACTTGTTTGACTGAACCAAACAAATCAGTGTGAATTAACTCTAATGGTTTCTTTGCTTTGAAACTTGATTCTTTGTACAGTAATTGATGAGCCTTACCATATGGACATCCAACGCAAACAACGTCAGTTTTGACTTCAAGTTGAGGTAGACCTTTGAGCATGGATTTTTCCGTAATCAGTCTCAACTTGTTGTAGCCAACATGTCCGAATCTTGCATGCCATAGATCCGTTGTCTCATTCTTTTGGGTCTTGTCAACATAGGCAGACTCTGCAGATACAATGTAAACGGAATCCACTCTTCGTCCTTCTATTGTCAGCTTTCGTATTATCTTAACATCCTCATAGACTTTCACATCCTCTAGCCCCAACAAGACGTAGTTTTTTGATGTTGTTAGTTGTGACACTGACAACAAGTTCTTCTTTATACCCGGTACATGATAAACATTATGTAGTGATACTATGTCAAACTTATTGTCATGCATGATTGTCGTATTGTCAATCTGAGCAATTGACAACTGTGTGTTATCTGTTGTGCGTATCATGCGACTCCCTTTGTACTCTTTCTTGTTTTTTAATTTTCTCTGATCGCTAGTCATGTGATTTGAGCATCCTGAATCAACGATCCAGTCATTCTCATAATCGATATGATCTCCCATCATCGCCATGAGTGCTAGCTCGTCTTCTTTTATGGCATAACGTACCTTTGCATCTCATTCCTCCTCCATCTCCATGTTGGAGGATGCCACGTTGCTTTCGACAGATTTTTTCTTAGACCAACAATCTCTAGACATGTGGTCCTCCTTCCTGCAATTGTAGCAAATACCTTCAAATATCTTCCAGCTCTTGTTGTCGTTCTTATGAGCTATTCCTAGTTGTGTAGTTCCTTGGTGGCTTCTTCTTTTGTCACCATCTTTGTATCCACGTTTGTAGAAGGCTTATTATTGCTCTAACTTTCACTTGTATAGAGTCCTTCTTCTTCACTCTTCAATGTAATGCCTCCCATTTGTTTAGTCATGGATTCTTTACTGGCTAATAAATTTTCAAACTCTACAAGTAATGGCTGAGTCGGCCATCCTTGTATAGCAATAATGAAGCTTCTATATTCTATAACTCGTTCTCAAGTAGTTGTAGCCTCCTATCGTTCTTCTTTGAAACCAACATCACGAACGTGTCCCATGCTTCTTTCGGTGCCTTGTCATCCCAAATATGCTCCAACTTCTCTTCTCCATTGTGGTCTTCAAGACAAGCATTACTTTGCCTGCTTTGATTCTCCATTTGAGCAAGGCGCCGTTAGAATCCTCCTTTGGCGGCGTAGTTTCACTCTCGCGAACAATCTACCAAAGGTCATGTTCTTGTAAATAGCACATCATGCATGTTGCTCACGTGTTGTGTTGTTGTTGTTGAGTTTCTTAATTCCTCCAACAATTTGGAAATCACCCATCGTGTTGGCTACCTCAGTAATACCAAACAAGCTCTTTCGACACAAGACTTGCAGAGTCACAAACTACTCACAACACAAAGAAACTCACTCACTAATAATCCTAAGAAAT